AAACAACAAAACTCTTAAAAGAAAAGTAAATCTTCATGATTGTGGATTTGGCAATGGTTTGTTAGCTATGACACCAAAGATACAAGCAACAAAAGAAAAACAGATAAATCAGACTTCATCAAAATTAAAAACCTTTGCACATCAAAGGATACCATCCAAAAAAAAAGTGAAAAGATAACAAAGAATGAGAGAAAATATCTGCAAAGCATATATCTAATAAGGGTGTAATATCCAGAATACATAAAGAATTCTTACAATTCAACAGCAAAAAGACAAACAACCAAAGTAAAAAATGGGCAAAAAATTTGAATAGGCATTTCTCCAAAGATATACGAATTACCAACTGGTACATGAAAAGATGCTCAACAACATCATTAACCATTAGGGAAATGCAAGTCAAAACCACAACACAGTACCACTTCACAAACACTAAGATGGCTATAATTTAAAGGCAAAAAACAAAAAACTAGTATTGATAAGGATGCAGAGAAATTGGAATCCTCATACATCACTGGTGGGAATGTAAAATGGTGAGGGGTGCCTGGCTGGCTCAGTTGGAAGTGTGCGACTCTTGATTCAAGGTCGTGAGTTCAAGCCCCACATTGGGGTGCAGAAATTGCTTACAAAGAAAAAAAGAGGAATGTAAAATGGTACAGCTTTGGAAAAGTTTAGTGGCTCCTCGAAAGGCTAAACAGAATTACCATTATGACCCAGCAATTCTGCTCATGGGTATATACCCAAAAGAACTGAACACAGATATTCAAACAAAGCTCGTACATGAACATTCAGAGCAGCACTATTCCTAAGAGCCAAAAGGTGGAAACAACACAAATGTCCATCAACTGATGAACATATGAATAAAATGTGGTATATCCACACAATGGAATATTAATCAACCTTAAAAAGGAAAGAAGAACTGAAACATGTTACAACATGGATAAACCTTGAAAATATACTAAGAGAAAGAAGCCAGACACAAAGTCCACATATTCTATTATTCCATTTGTATGAAATATTCAGGACAGGCAAATCCAGTGATAGAAAGCAGATTAGGGGGCGCCTGGGTGGCTCAGATGGTTAAGCGTCTGCCTTCGGCTCAGGTCATGATCTCAGGGTCCTGGGATCGAGTCCCACATCGGGCTCCCTGCTCCTTGGGAGCCTGCTTCTCCCTCTGCCTCTCTCTCTCTCTCTCTGTCATGAATAAATAAATAAAATCTTTAAAAAAAAAAAAAGAAAGCAGATTAGGGCTGAGAGAGTGGGAATAGGGAGTGATTGCTTAACGGGTACAGAGTTTCCTTTTGGGATGATGAAAAAGTTCCAGAACTATATAGTAGGGATGGTTGTGCAGCATTATGAAGGTACTAAATGCCACTGAGTTGTACGTTTTAAAATGATTTAGGGGCGTGCCTGGGTGGCTCAGTCAGTGAAGTGTCTGACTCTTGATTTCAGCTCAGGTCATGCTCTCAGGGTCGTGAGATGGAGCCCTGAGTCAGGCTCTGCACTGAGCTTGGAGTCTGCTTAAGATTCTCGCTCTTCCTCTCCCTCTGCCCCTTCCCCCCAACCTGCGCATGTATGTGTGCACGCACACACTCTCAAAAAAAAAAAAAAATGGTTTAAATGGCAAATTTTATGCTATGTGTATTTTACCATAATATGTATGTACACTTACATCCCCCTAAATAAATGGGGTCATAAGGGAGAGAATATGGTATATAACGGCTACATGATCAGATCACGTAGATGTAGTATAATTATTTTAAAAAATTGAGGGAGGGCGCCTGGGTGGCTCAGTTGGTTAAGCGACTGCCTTCGGCTCAGGTCATGATCCTGGAGTCCCGGGATCGAGTCCCGCATCGGGCTCCCCGCTCGGCAGGGAGTCTGCTTCTCCCTCTGACCCTCCCCCCTCTCCTGCTCTCTCTCAAATAAATAAAATCTTAAAAAAAAAAAAAAATTGAGGGAGAATGGAAAGAACATATGCAAAAAAACTGTTTTAACTCTTTTCAAAATTGAGTAATGGTCATTCTTAGACTGTTGTACCTATAATGTGGGAATAAGTAAATGATTAACGGGGATATTCTAATTCCATCATCCCCCACATCTTTAGCTTTCCAAAAGCATCAATCCAATACCTATGAGCATCCCCAGCACTTAGACTGTGAATTTGAAACACCAATTCAAACTGAAAACAGAACTCCGGGCTTCTTTAAGAAATGGCCTAGGTCTGGGATAGGAAATGTACAAGATGAGGCTGGAACATCTTGTCATCTCAAATAGCAAGGTAGCTCCCAAAGAAAGACTACTAGGGTCATGTCCAAAGGACTCAGGAGCCAACTTGGAGAGGCTCCTAATAGTCAAAGATGGGACAATCTGAGCTTCAATAATGTTAATAATTGCAATGGATTAAAATATATCCAATATATTTACATATATGAGTATATAATGATATTAAATAAAAACAACTAGTTACCTTTGGAGGACAGGGAACCAATTCATTATCTTGAAAACTGGTAAATAAAGGGAAAGAATCAAGCATTTATCCTGCCTTTCCTATATGAAGTGTACCACTGGGTGACCAAATGGTAGATGAGGGGAAGTGTTTCTTCATATAAGTAGTCCAACTAATAAAAAGAAATGATAGAATTAGAATATCACCATACTGCAACCCCCAAGGAATAAATGGATCTAGGCATTGAGCATCAACAGCTGCTAACAATAATCAATAAATTGTACATTTCCTTCGTGTGGTTTTCTAGATCTGTGTTATTTTAAAAAAAAAATATGAAGGATAGAGAGTTAGGACATTGGGAGTTGCAGAAGAAGAGAAAGAATCAGGTAGAGGCAATTTTTAAATTGTACTGGCTGTTCTTTCCAGAACTGATAAAATGATGCACCCACAGATATTTTTGTTGAGGAGACAGATATATATATATAAATAACAGGCAGATGCAAAGGAAATGAACTGAAAGAACACATGATAAACTAATAACAAAGGTGAGGGTGAGAAAGAGCAGGATTTGGGGGGTGGGGAGGTGATCAAAATAGACTTTAGCTTTATAATATTTCACCTTTTTTTTTTTTCCAAAGAGAATATATTTATATATAAAATTTTAAAGTTATTTCAAAAACATTCTTGTTAAGTGAGTAAAGTGCTATCAGCAGAAACGTCAGATCCATGAAAGCAGATGGATTCAAGCAGTCAAAGGGCTGAATAATGCTTATTCAAAAGGATCAAGTTATTTCTCCCAATTCTGAATTGGGCCACTGAAAACATAATTTCTCCAGGACAAATGCTCCTAGCAGTAAGAAATTTTCAGGGGCAGGGGGAGGTAGAATACAATTATTTCCCCCACCAGTTGTCTTATTTGCAAGGAAAACAGAACAGCTTTAGAGAATGAAAACACCCCAAAGACTCATTCTCCGAAAACTTCAACACTTGACAAAGCACTCAGCTACACAAGCGGCCCTCCACAGCTAGTTCTCCGAGGTCCACATGCCCCTGCCGCCATTCTCCCCAGTGGCTGCCTGCCTCTGCCCCTCACCTCCTGCAGGTCTCTGCTTCACTCTCACGTCCTCAGAGAGGCCTTCCCTGATCAGTCTCCTCTCTAGAACAGCACCCTTGGTCCCCTTTCCCCTACACTGTTTTGTCTTTGCAGAGGTAGTGCCGCTTGGCTGTTACTGATGATGTGTGTGAGTTTACTCTCCCACCCAAATGTGAGCTCCAGCAGGGCAGGACTTTTGTCAGTTTCCTTCCCAGCTGTGTCCCCAGCACCTAGAACAGCATCCGGTACCAAGCTGGGGCCATGAGTATCTTGTGAAGGAAGGGCTGAATGGGTTCCCCGAACTGCAGAAGCTTTTCCCAGCTGAGCCCCAGATGGGAGCTGAGCAGGGGCAGAGGTAGGAAAAGAGGGGCTCACCTCCACGTTCCAGACGTAGGAGCTGTGGAAGAGCTCCGACCACATCTTGCCTACTTTGTTGATGTCTTTGACATCCCAGATGTAGATGCTGTGGTCCTTATACACGCAAGACAGCCACTGATGGATGGGGTCGAAGGTCAGCGCCACTGTATCCGGGTAGACTGCTTCTGCCTTCCTGCGGAAGAGGAAGCTAACAAGGCCACATGGTTATCAGTCACCATCAATGTCAGTGTGAGCAGTGACAGCTGCCTCTGGTGACACTCGAGCTGCCTCTTGCCTGGCAATGCCATCCCTTATGGTAACTGGGGTGGTTCATCTCCCACTCCAACTCTACTCTCTTCTCCCTCCTTCTTCCTTTGCTTTTGCTTCTAGTACAGAGGTTGTAAACTGGAAGCTTCTGCCTGGCCCTTGAGAACATCTGAATTTTCACCTCCCCTCATTTCACCCACCCAAGCTCCATCCTCTCTTTGAGCATGGAAGAATGATGGGCATGTACCTTAGTTCTTTCTCATTAGCCCCATCAGCACATGACCAAAAATCCCTATGCCAGGGGGACTGGGGAGTTGTCACCTGGCCTGGGGCCTCCCTGCAAAGGCTACAGTTTACTGAGCACTTACTACGGGCCGATCTGAGAGCTTTAGCTACGCTGAATTCCCACAGTCTCCACGAGTGGTAGGTACTATATTTCACAGCTGAGGAAACTAAAGCACACACAGCGAAGGTGGCAGAGCTGGGTGGCCTGGCCACCGCAACACAGCACTGTGGGTCACTTGGAAAATGTACCCAGGAGGTAGTGTCTGGCGGTCTACAAAGAGGCAACCCCAGGCACCCAGCACCCCCTGGTTAGGTGGCCCCTCCCCCCAACAGCCTTACACCATAGCTCAGCCCTTCCACCCACTCTCAACATGGCAGCCAGAGGGCTCTAATGCTTAAGGCCGACCATATAACTAACTCCAATGCCTGAAATCTCCAGTGGCTACCCACTGACCTCAGAAAAGACTACAAAGCTCCCCCTGCCAGCCTCCATCAATGTTCAGACCTGTCTCCTAACATCCTCCCCTGGCGCACTCCAGCCATGCAGCCCCTAGCTGTTCACGCAACATGCCAAGCCCAGGGCGTTTTGCCCATCAGGTCTTTATACTTGCTGTTAGGACCCACCTCTCCACATAGCTGGCTCCTCCTCACCAGAGACACCTCCTCTGGCTCCCAAGCAACACAGCCCCACTGCCAGGCACTTTCCTTCCTGAGTTCCTGGTTTATGTCACCAGAGCACTTAGGGCTATCTGAAACGACCTTGTTTGTATACTTGTTTATCATCAAGCTCCCTCACTAGACCGCAGACTTCATGGTGGCAGAGATTTTGCTGCCTCGCTCTAACTCTATCCTTCCAGCCCAGGGCTGGCCAGGTGGGTACGTTAAGCTGGAAGCACGAACAGATGTCAGCAGACAGACTCTGGGTGGGCCCCTCTCCCACCCTCTGCAGGGCAGTACCTGGGCTCCAGGCCCTGGGCCACGTCCACCCCAAGGCAGTGTGGTTTGGGCAGGTTCGCGAGGTACTGCAGGCTGTGGGCCTGGAAGATGCGGACTATCCCATCTGTGCAGCCGCAGAAGATGAGCTCTTGGCTGACACAGAGGCAGGAAGATAAGGAGACCTGTGGGGGCAAAGGGGACCCAAGTGGACTTGATGCTCCATGTAACCCAGTGCAGAGACATAGGGACTAACAGAGCAGACGTCAGCCTCCAGAGAAGCCTTAGAGTTCCTTGGGTCTAAGAAGCCCATTTCAGCAAATTGTAAACTTCTGGAATCAGGAATATTAGCAGTCACTACTGAAGGAAATGTGCCAGCAGGCAGGCAGAGGCACAAACTGCAAAAGAACTGTCATCACTGTCTATAGAGGAACTCAGCTGTGTGTGGAAAATCATCTGCTCAGCAGACTATGACCTTGGAGAGGTAACATGCAGAAGCACGGTGGAATTGGGGGCTTATGTTTTATTCCCTATTGTTTAAAAACAACTTCAGAGAGATTAGACTTCAGAGCAACACGGAAAAATGTGACTGTATACAGAAAAGGCTCTCGGACTCGCTATCCCACCAGGATACCCAGATGGAAGGGGCAGGAAGTGCCAGACCTCTGGATGCTGATTAGAGGAGCTTTCCCAAATCTAGAGGGACTTAATTTATAAGTCATTTAAGACAACTGCTCAGGGGCTAACCATCCATCTGTCGAAAGCTTTGGACTTGCTTAAGCTGCTGAAGTTCTAGAAAGAGGATTCAAACGAGAAAAAAACAAATGATGTTTAACCATCTAGGAAAAGCAGATGAAACTCCCAATTCTTCCACAGGCCTGATGCCATTAGCCCTAAAGGTGAGTTCTAGAGGGGAGCCATAGGAGCAGGGCTAGGAAAAGGAGGTAAAACCATGATGCTCCTGCTGAGAGCCATCCAGTCTCAGAACAGGAAAACGGTTTGGATTCAAACCCTCAGAACCTGAAGAAAAGTGGTTCTGCAATTTATAAATATGTCATCCTTTAATTTAAAATGTTACGTATTTCTGGGGTGCCTGGGTGGCTCAGTCGTTAAGCATCTGCCTTCGGCTCAGGTCATGATCTCAGGGTTGTGAGATTGAGCCCTGCATTGGGCTGCACACTCAGCCCCTCCCCCCACTCCTTCCCTCTCTCAAATAAATAAATCTTTAAAAAAATTATTCATGGGGTGTCTGGGTGGTTCAGTTGGTCTGAGCGTCTGCCTTCGGTTCAGGTCATGATCCCAGGCTCCTGGGATCGAGCCCCATGTCAGGCTCCCTGCTCAGTGGGAGTCTGTTTCTCCCTCTGCCCCTCCCCTGCCTGTTCTTTCTCTCTCTCCCAAATAAATAAATAAAATCTTTAAAAATGATTATATTGTAATTTGTATAGTTACTGGTTCACTGCCTGTCTGCCTCTCCTTACTAGACTGTGGGAGCCACAAGAGCAGGAGGAGGGTCTGTCTTAGGCATTGATGTGTCCCCAGCAGGTAGCACAGCACCTAGCAGAGATCTTAATAAGCATCTGCAGGTTAAATGAATGCATGAGTCACGTCTCAGCTCCTAAGAGACGCTCCCTCACTGACCTAGCATTAGCAACCATTTCTTCAGCAAGGTATTTTCTCCCTACCCTCCCATCACGGCTCCCTTTGGGTCCTGCCAGCACCCTCACCCACGACTTCACAGTGTGAAGCGAGCTAGACAGGGGAAGCCCCTCCCTGGTTTGGTCCTTCCAGGGAGCTCTGACTCAAGACTTAGGGAACTTCATTTCTTTTGAATGTGTCAGGTTGCCCGGAGTAGCTGTGTTGACACATACCCAGAGAGCAGGAGTTGACTGGCAGAGAGAAGCAGGAAGGATAGGCCATGCTACCTCAGAAAGAAAAAGAAGGAAAAGAGAGAAGCAAGAGAGAGGGAGACACAGAGTGCTTCCTGGTTCCTGCCCCCAGTGAAGCTTAATACCAAGGTCCACAAGACTCTCTCTTGCCCCTATATCCTAGATTAAAGGACGCCTCTGTTCCTCCTAAAATATGGTTCACAATTAAGCCACTCACGTTACTGAAGATATTTTTCTGCCAGTGAGAGTCAGAGCTGTTATCCACATTCCAAAAGCGGATGGTATTGTCTGAGGAACAAGTAAGAAAAGTTCCTGATGGCAGACAAGCTCTCTGATCTTCAAACTCAGGATACACCTACAGTTCCCAAAGAATAAGGCAAAGGGCAATTCATTACAACCATTTCAATGACAGCATTGTGAAATTCTATTGCATTTTGGTGAAAAAAAAAAAGTATGTTCAGATAAATAGGCATAATGTAATGTCTTCTATGTTAAAAATAAACAAGAAAAAAAGGACCCCAAATGCTACTATATATTGTCCATGCACCGTCTTCAGCCCAGGTCACGAAACATCCCCAAACATCAATTTCCAAGGCAAATGGTTCAGCTCAGTCAAAAATCACTAAGCACAAAAGGAAACAAGGTACCATGAGCAAGAAGCAGCAGAAACAATAGTCCAGCTTCAAACACTGACATTATTAGACAGAATATAAAATAACTATGTTTAATATGTTTAAAGAAATAGAAGAGGGCGCCTGGGTGGCTCAGTTGGTTAAGCGACTGCCTTCGGCTCAGGTCATGATCCTGGAGTCCTGGGATCGAGTCCCGCATCGGGCT